AGGAGATATCTCCTATGTTAAAAGATGTATCTCCAAATGTATCCCCGTAATTCTAGGTTAAACTTGGTACGGATTTTACATTCACGAAAGTTTCACTATTCACTGAAGAATATTTCAGTAATTGTTAGTTTTTCGACCCATATATCCCAATAGAGATATCTCCCTATAAGAATATATCTTCAAATATATCCCCCAATTTTAGGTTACGCTTCGTACGGATTTTACATTCACCAAAGTTTATCTCCATTTACTGAAGAATATCTCAGTAATTGTTAGTTTTTCGACCTATATACCCCAATAGTTTTTTACTCAACGTTTAACACTCATTCCGATTACAGAATCAAATTTTACATATTACAATTTAAAAAACTCAAGGTGACCTTCATGTCTCGATAAAAAAGCAAAATAGCAAACAACTATTTATTGCATTCTGTGCCCTCCTTAATACTACCTAACTTTTGTTTGAAACATTTTTTCATATAACAAATAGTTTATAAGTGATTTAGGTAGCAGATTTCGTTGAATCACCCTGTATATTCCAATACTTGTTAGAGTAAAGGACAAAAAGGTACCACTTTTTTGATTCTTTATATTTCTATTATTTTTTAACATCAACCTGAAACCTCAATATACTGGGTTACACACAGCTTTTTAATTTTCTATCAGAATATACAGGGTGACAAAAAATAAATGCATATTTAGTTATGGTTATAACTTTAATAAATCGAGATAAACTTAAGAAGTAATAGTACATAACAACAATATGTGACTGTACATTAAGATGTTAATAAATAGTAGAAAATATCTGTTTCCAAAGAATTGATTTTTCATCTTTTGTTTTCTCTCAAATTTTCGTATTTTTTGAAAACATCCAATATGGGACAATGTGCAACGGATATATATATTTTTTTTATTCAAACTACTTCAATCTTATTAGTTGTTCTATACGCGTGTTAAAAATTACTGGTTACGAAAAACTTTCGAAGTATGTGTGGGACTTTTTTGAATTCACAGTATCACGAATTTTTACATTCATTGAAAACCCTTAAAATATGTGTCTTTTTCTCTTATTTCTTGTAACGGAACCTCGACTTTTGTATTATTTTTTGACAGTCGTGAAATAATATTTTCTTTAACTCACCAACTGCATTTGTCCACAATAGTGGACGCCTACTTTATCACTTTAGCGACAATATGTGGAAAAACGGTGTTACCGTGACTATTAGTTCATTATTTATCGTGAGCAAATACAGTGTTTATTAAAAGAAATATATCTAGAAATATTTTTAATTATTGGAAGGAGTACACAAAGCCACATGCAATTATTTCATTATACAATAAAGAAATCTAAGAATAAATATTCAAATGGGTATGAAATCATATGCATCTTTAAGGTTAAGGCGCTCTCTCAACGTATTCGATGATCACGGTTCTCGCGGATATTTTGCAAGAACCACAGTCACTGACATTTCTCGTTCCCCACACACACTCACTGCCAACACAAGAGAGTATCTCTGTGTAACAGTGACTCATTCCCGAAGACAACGAACCCCGAAAGGAAACGCGGGTGAATGAAACGATGACTGGGTCCTCCTGTGAATGAATTTACAACCGCCTTTACGCGAAGAGCAACGGCCATCTTTTTCGTCTTTCTCTCTCTCTCTCTCTCTTTTTTTCTTCCTCATCGTCGGTTTGCTTCTCTCATTGTGCTGGCTCAGTTCGCCGTAGAGCTCCAATTAATTTGTCGTCGGGCGAACCGTCGCGGAATTAACGTCCTCGTTACTTCCGCCCCATCCCCGTCGTCGCCGATGGGAACAATGCAGCCGTCCTCTGGTCTATTAACGACGAATAATATTTCTCTCGGTGTTTCCTTCTGTCGTTGATTATCCACAAACACTATGGAACTTGCATCGAGAAATAATAGGGTTTAAGATTTTATAGTTGTGTTTATTTATAGTATACAGGTAACCATTTGTGTAACACGGTGAGTTTTAGGTTAGGTTCTTAAAAATTGTCGTATTCTACGAAAGTAAGAAACTTGTAGCCTTGCGAGCAAACTCGACTTCCGCTAGGGGAAAATGTAGCGTAAGAGAAAGGCCACTTGGTAAATTGAAAATAATTTACCACTTGGTAAATTTATTTCAATTACCTAAATAAATGTTAAATCAAATGTTAACTTAGCATAAATTTCAATAAGTCCCGAGATCAAGTGATAGAAGGCCCTTCCTTTACGCCACTAGGGGAAAAAGTGACGTAAGAGAAGGGCCCCCTACTACTTGGTAAATTTATTTCAGGTACTGAAACAAATGTTAATTCGAATGTTAATTTGGCATACATTTCAGTAATTTCTAATACCAAGTTGTAGGAGCATGGTAGGAGGTCTTTCTATTACATCGCTTTTCCCCTAGCGGAAGCCGAGTTTGCTCGTCGGTGTAGTAACAAAAAACAGGGTTAGGTGTTCAAGAACTAAGAAAACTAGAATTAAGTTGTTGTAAGATTACAATGTTATTCGGGGGTTTTCCCAATTCTGTAATCGTGTTTAGAGTAGAAATGTTCGATTCCGATTTGATTCTTCGGACGATCGATTCCTTTGGGTAAAAGTATGGAACCAGAGGTCTTGATTAATGGAACAGTAACTCGTTCTGTAATCTGTTACGATAAAGTAAAAGTTATGGTATCAGAACATTTACAAATCACTTCCCGTCAGTGTTAGTATGTTGCCTTCATTAATCATTTAACGTCCAGATCCTTAAATCGTTATTTTAAAATAGTGAGACTGATATATGTATATACTATATATTGTATCTTGTTACTTTGAAATCCAAAATATCGTTATTGAACAAACCTATTCTTTCATTTTTTTTTCTTTATTCTTGGAAGAGGATACTTGAATTTCTCAACTGAAAAGGTGAAAATTTAGTTCACAGCAGTGAAACTACGATCAACCGGTGGCTGCCTTTAACGCATTTTTAAAACTGGGATAAAAAGTGTCTCCTTTGTTAAGTAATTATATTATACGATTTTAAATATTTCCATATCCAATAAAACAGTATATAAATTATAAAAGTTGAATCAACCTAATTAAAACTATGCTGTGTCCGTTATGGTACTAAAATATTTAGTGTATTTCCAAAAGCATCGTTGATGGAACGGTTACACCTCCCTCTTACAGGACGGCTGCGAAATTTTTTTGGACGTTGTTCTAGCCCCGCACAGACTACTAAATTTTTTTTTATTACATTTACTATGTATTTTTTTAATTTGCAACTAAATAACAATAAATAGTATTACCTACTGTTGAGGACATTATTATACGAGGTGTAGGAGGTTTTTATCTATATTGTAGGTTAAAATATTCTTAAATAAATACTGTTCATAATAAGCAACAATATTTCGTATAAGTAATGAAAGATTAAAATAATATTTTGAATATTTGAGAATTTTACTATGTTAGATCGATCATTACGCTGAACTATCCGGTCAGTAACAAGCCACTGGAGGGGGGGGGGTCGCTTTATTTCGGCTCTCGGAGGCTTCTGGCTAGAAGCCAGCGTTAAATCAACGGTGTCGGACGGGATTGATGGATTCGAGGCTTTGATGTTCCATCGTCAACCTCATATGAGACGGTGCAATGCATACATACATATTGTACGCCACGCGTGCACCGTTTTGGACAGGTTGCTAACCGCGCTTCCTCGAATCGCCCGTAGCAACCCAATGGCGTAACAGGTTGCCGACCTGTCCGCGCGATCACGAACGAAGTGTCGTGGAAATACGTGATTTTTATCGAACACTACGAAATTTCATGCAAAATTAAGTACTATTAAGTGATTTCTGTAGTCAGAAATAAGAACGAAAATTGTATTCTATCTCTTAACGCTTTCATTCCCACATTATATAACACTAAAACTACCAGCATTGAATGTATCATAAATTAAATTTCATAATATATTAATATTTATACTATATGATATTGTATAGCATAATGTGAATTAAATGTCGACATGAATATCGATGAAAGCACTTTTATAATATCAGTAATTATAAAATAACAAAATCGAGTCCCGTCATTTTGACGGGTTTGATAGTGCTAGTGTTGTTAAAAATTACCAAAGAAACATTTTGTTGTATTTTTGTGTGTCAATCACATAACTATAAATGATTCAGGAGAACATTTTAACATTTTGAAACCGTCTAATGCCATTTTAAATTTGTTGACATTTAACTATTTTTTCACTTTTATCACAGTTACATTTCATAATTCCTATTATAATGTTATTACACATAATAAAACGAAACTATAATTTAAGCATGGCTTCTTATGTTTCAAGATCATTTATTCCTATATCATCAGTAATTTTCTAAAAAGAAAAATTCGCAAAAATAGTTTGCTTTTAGAGCTATTACGTATCGTATCTAGCTGGGGCTCCGTATGGCCCTTTATACTTTGCATCAATTTTACCAATGTAATTTGAACTATTAATATTGTAAGCTACTACAAAATACTAAAATGAAAAAAAAAATGTACAAATAAGTAGAAAAAGCAAAATTCTGTTTCCTTATTGTCTCCCAGAAGATACCATCAAACGCATTGAAACCTAATTTTGCATACATTGATCTTAATGTTTCAGTTTTATGTGATCGTTAACATATCTTTTTTTTGTGCCATCATAATCTCCGTAAAAAAATCTATAACCACGTAATTTTGGATAAAAACATAATTTTTTGTAGCCAAATAAGAAATCATTAATCTTTCACTATCAATTACAGTTCCATAAGGCCCGTGTTAGAAGGGAATTTTTATAACGTTTCTTTTTAATAATTTTATCATTGACCTTGCTATTTTTTGGTAGCAATCGAAAGTTGCAGCTTTTAAGAATTTTTTGTTGAATTTTCAACTAAATTTAATATTAAACATTTGCGAAAGCTACCTTAAGGGATTAAGTGCACAGGTGAAACTGAGACTATCGGTAATAACGAAGTAACTTGTACTGTTGCAGGGCCGTGAAGGCATTCCAGCAGGTGCTGTGGGTGGAACCTGGTTTTCCACGGGCCTGCGAGGTTCACCTACGGCTCGGCTTGATGCTGAAGGTCCACGCTGACTTTGACGCCGCCCTCAAGCACCTGACGCTCGCTCTGATCGATGCCACGACACCTGCTTCCTTCTCAAAGCTTGAAAGTGAGTCCTTTATCCTCGTTTTTCTTTAACCGTTCGACTACGCGTCATCGTTCCAGTAAAAATGAATGTATCGGCAGCTGCTACTGACAGTGTAAAGGGCTGTCTTTACACTAAAATTTCACGACTATTATTAATGATAATTATATTAATATCATTTTATTTGAGTACTGGAATTGTTACTTATCGTTTTATTCGCATCTGTGTGATGCAAAAGTTCGTCCCGTTTTCGGATCTGACTTCACATATATCGTGCAACGAAAAACAAAAACCGAAAGAATTTTCAGTTTTCCGAATCATATATATATATATATATATATATATATATTTTACAAAGTTTTATCTTATTATTAACATCAATTTTTAATTGTTGTTAGTAGTTGAAGATACAATCATTAAGAAAACAAATTCTTCTATACTCTCAATAACTGTATTAATAAATAGACAACACTTCATTTATGTTGAATGTTTCGTTCACTGAAAACAAAAATCCCCGAGAAATGACAATTTTTTTAAGACTTTACAGTGGTAAACCCCCTTAAGTACCTATCTTATTGGGTTAAGTATAAAATAGAGAACTCGTTGCATTCGATGGAATTTCTGTCTTTCGTTGCATTTCACAGAGGCCTATTACGCTATAAATTCATAGAATACTTTCGCAGTATTTTAATTTTATGAAATTAACTCCACGATGAAAACTTGCGATAATCCTTGAAACTTAGTTAATTCCACGTTGCACAGTTTTAATGTGTTATTTAGCGCGCCGCGACGAAATCGATACTTCCGCCGCGTGGAAAGTGCCCTGGTTATTGGGGTCGTTGCGTGTGAAACGTGGCTCGTATCGATTGGTACATTTCGTTACACTTTTATGAATGAAAACAATTAACAGTGGTCATCATTCGCGTAATGCATTCGCTGTAAAATTGAAATAAATTCGAATAAAATGACAAAATTACTCTTGCGATTTGAGCTCTATCTATTGTCAAAAAAAGTCACTGTGTTATCAAACAGCTCTCGTACAAATACTGTTGCATATTTTTTTTTCATGTGATCTTTTTTTTGTACGTTTCCTTTTCTTGTCTTAAATTATTCTAAAATGTGTTAAAATTACGAACATGTTTTTTGTTTTACCTAAATTTTACTTTAAATAACAAATACAAATGTTTTCCTTAATGACGAGTATACTCGTCGTTAAAATAAAAATTCCATATTTTCATGACGATTATACTCGATACAATCATCGAAAGAGTTAATAATGATTGTATGAACCTCACGTGTATCGAAATATCATGTATGAAATAACATTTAAATCCTTTACTGTGGAACGTAAACGTCCTTTAACTACTATAATAAAATTCGTTGGATTCGAATGACATATAAAGTTCCATGAAAATGGCAGACATTTCGTCCGCAACGACCTGGTATTACACACCTGCGCGTGTACATCTTGACAGAGCATCGCGGCCACGAGATCTTTTGCTCACTTTCTTCCACGAACTTGACCCCCTTTTCCAGCGTGATACAGCGATTGTTACATCACGCGTGGCAACGATAGCTCATACTGCGGTTGTACTCAATTTCATAAGTCTATACATTTTGTTTAAAAGAAAAAGTGCTCACAAGAAATAACGTGATGATGCTAAAAAAAAATATAATTTTCTGGAAATATCAGACCGGGAATTATTTCTGTATCCAATCCACATATTTAATCAACTGGAACATTTATCTATCTTATTTATATTTTTAATCAATTTCTAAAACGATAAAGACTGTATCGTTTCAGATACGAGCTGTTCACAGGCCAAAGCGGCTAACTCCAATTTTTTGATTTTTTTAAATTTTAATGCCGAAGCACAAGATTGGCATTTAACTTTTTTTAAACGAACAACTTACTCAAAAAATATTATATTAATAATAATTAAACGTGAGAATAAAAAATATGTTACTCTTTTTCGCAACAGGCGTTTGTTTGTCAACAACTGTTTTTCAATATTAGCTACGAGTTAACTCGTTTTTCCGAGCGAAGAAGTATTTATTAACATCGAACAATAACCTGTTACCATTATCATTTTTCAAGTTTACCATTTTTTAGAGGTACGATTTCTCGGAGGTGGGTACCATTTTGCAGACGTACCGTTTTTCGCAGGTACCGTTTTTCGCAGGTACCATTTTTCGCAGGTACCATTTAGAAATAGTAGAATAACCCGTCTCGTCAAACGTATTTTATTCTCAAATGACGAGTTAACTCGTTTGACCCAGTGAAAAAGTATTTCCAAATGACGAGTGAACTCCGTCTTTGTCGGCTAACAGGTAAATCGCGCGTGTTTCAAGTAACAACACGGTACGTCAAAGGAGAAGCGAAGCCTTGAGGCCCCGATTAACGAAACGGGAATCGCCGTTACTCTTTCCGGACGGGATTCCATGCCGTTGTACAGCTTTATCACGTCACTTTGGATTACCAAGGGACACACAAGTGAGTCACTCACGCGGAAGACAGCTCAGCCCGTTCCACTATTTAATGATCTAAATTTAGCGGCGGGGATAAAAATACTTTTCGATAACGAGGCCCGATATCGTGATAAACTTATCGTGTTTTATAACCGGCTAAAGTGGAATAAAATCTATATTATTGAAATCACCGAGACGACTTTAATTAAGATAATTACGAGAATTTTAGAATGTTCTGATAATAAAGTAAGAATAAGATAGATAACGAAAAGTAAGAGATTTTCGTGAAAACGTTACACTGTCGGAATTTCAGTCGTTTCAATCGAGTAACTTTCTAAATGTTACGACTCATATGAGTACTATTAACACTAGAACTACCAATATTGAATGTATATTAACTTAACTTGTAAAATTTCGTAATATACATAATACATGACACAATCTACTTCAATATAATATCACATGAAATGTACAATAAATTAGACATAACATAAAATCCGGAAAAAGTGTTACTATAACTCGAGTAATTGTAAAATAAGAAATTTGCGATCGCAACATTTTGACGGGATTGGTAGTTCTAGTGTTAAAGATGCCTAAAATCGAATGCATATTGCCGTGGAGGAACGTGAGTAAAGTATAACGTTTAGACGAATAGATAACTGAAAAATTATTGGAGGGTACAATTAAGCTCAAATGATGAGTTAACTCGCATATTCTCCGGTTAACAGGTTTAAATATTCATTGTACGCAAAAGTAATGACTATTTCTCTGTAAAAAATCTTTATCAACATCGAACAATAGCTACAGCATCTGTTACCATTGCCATTTTTCAAAGGTACCATTTTCGGAGGTACCATTTTGCAAAGGTACCATTTAGAAACAGAATAACCCGTCGCGGCAGACGTATTCTACGTTTATTTTGCCCATATTTTCCTCAATTAACTCAAACGAAGCCTGTAACGCAATTTCACTATTCTTGATTTTCATCTCATTATTTATTAACACATTTTATTAACACCCAGTATGTTGCGATTTCCTATACAATGTACTCAAATTGTCCCACTATCTTTTTCCGTATTTACGGAATATGGCGACACCAGAATTCAAACATTTTGTGTTGCTCCACGGATTTTCACGTGACTCCATCCGGGTTATATATCTCGAATGATTTATCTTGCCCAACTGTTTCTGAAACACTTTCCTTACCGAGAAACCTCTCGCGGCGTTTTGATTCAACCGGAAGTTGGACGTGTAATATAGTTCGAGCCGACCGGCTTGCGGGTCAGTCTTATATTTGCCAATCTTATGGACAGGAAGTGCCCAGAGAAGTCACAGGAAATGAAATTCGCGGTTTCGCAGGAGGTTTGTTAGTTACTTCAAACTGTGTTATGGTTACATTATTATACAGTTTACTTCCTAACACCTGGTACCCGTGATTAATGAAAAAATATTCATATTAACGTGTGATCTATTTGTTGAGACTATTTTAAAAAAAAAAAGAATGAATATTCAAACAAGAGAATATTTTTACAAGAATCGAAGCCATAAAATTTATATAAATCATTGGAAAGTGTATATTAATTAGTATTTCGTTCGATTTTTCAGTGAATAATTTTGAATTTCTTTTATGTGTTTCAGTAAAATTTCACATAGCCCATCTGTACGAGGTACAAGGAAAGTACAGGCTAGCCAAAGAGCACTACGAGTCGCTGCTCAAAGAGAAGACTCTGCCCTCCCATTTGAAGGCTGACATTTGCCGCCAATTAGGTGAGTTGAATATCAGTGAATTTTATCTGTAAGCGACAGCTTTTCTCGAAATTCAATATATCGATTAATTGTTCAACCTACACGATTATACTCTTTTTGTTATTTTACTCAGAATCTTCTTCATACAGAAAAAAAGTTATGAATGCACCACATTGGGTGGTATCATTAAAAATAATGTAACTGAATTTTTCTTAAATTGCTTCACGAAAATCAATATATTTGCACAAAGATCTGCAGTCCAGTAATTATAATACTTACTACAAATTTCTTGAATGAAAATTATCGACATCAGCGAAGTACAAACGGACAGCTGCAATATTGTCAATTTTTTCTTTTTTACATAAATAGGCTCTAAATATTATTTACACCTAAATTTAAATATTATTTAGAGTATATTTATGTAAAAAAGTGAATCGACAAAATTGCAGTTGCCTGTTTGTAGTTTGCTACAGTTAATATACAGGGGGTCCCACTTAACGTAAGCATCTTGAATATCCTACTTGCTTTGGGAGATATAAAAAAATGTGAAGAGAAAGTACTATGTGATTAGAAGGGGCAAATACTGCAATAAGCAAACATTTTCTCAAGGTCATATTTTTTGAAACTTCAAGGTCATCGTTGTTTCTTTAAACGGGACTACATACTTTTATCAACGTGGCGTCATAGTTGACATCATGACAATCCAATGCCCTATAATAGCGTGACCTTCGTGTGACCTTGAGTACCAAAAATCCACAAATGTACGAGAATAGATTTAAATAACAAAATACCCACGACAGAGCGATTAGTATACAAATGTATCAAAATTGATGGACATCGCTTTGAGCATTTATTAAATGAAATTTTCCGCAAATCAAAAGGTGTTCACGTTAGGTGGGATACCCTGTGTAATAGTACCCAATTTTGGCCCATCTAGTATAATTCCAATACAATCAAAATACTTAATCTGCAATCGAAATTAAAAAATTATAAAAAAAAAAATAGAAAACAAAGCTTATTAATTTTCTACATCTTCCGTTCCATCTCAACCCACACAAGGAGCAGAAAAAAAAATACCACCACCCCTATTGGGCGTTATTAAAAATTCCCCAGTGAGCGTCGACTGCCAGGCGTCCGCCAGTTCCGACCGTAATTGAACAATCGCGGGTCGAATCGGACGCGGAGCATTTATTTTCCAGCGATAACGTCCCGACGCCGCCGTCGGGGTAGGGCCACAGCCCCTCCAAAGTCAATTAAACCCAACCCCGTGAATCGCTTTTTGGCCGGGCGAAACTTTCGCCACCTCAATATTCGACCTAAAGGCGGGCTCAGACGGCGCGTGGCTCGGCGAGTCTGTCCCGTTCGTTAGTAATCGCTGACGCAAGATAAATTGTCAGTCCATAGTTGTTCGACAAGCTTCGTTTCAAATAAAAAAACATTCATGGGTCGACAATGTATCTCTTTCGTCGCTATTTACCGACAAGGAGACAGGTTTGCCAAGTCACGCGCCGTCTGAGGGCACCTTTACGCAAAGCACACAGATATACAGTACAGGACAAATGTTTTCGAACAAATGTTTTCGGATAAAAACCGTTTGCTGTGTTATTTGAATTACGGATACTGTTGATGTTACATTACGTAATCAACGCCTGCCTTGCGTAACTGTTGTTTTCTTAGGTCGAACACACTTCGATATACAGACTCCACTCGATTATCGTCTGGTTTGTTCTACACGATTATTATCCAGGCCTTTTCCCCTTCTGGGGGGGGGGGCTGTCAAGCACATACTTTGTTGCCCCTCTGTTTTTGTTGTCGAGGCTCGGACTTCGGACAAAAAACGAATTTACGAGGGTCTGAAGTAATTGTCCCTATAAGATTATTGTCCCGGCGTGGACCCCAGTTCGGGACGATAATCGGTAGGAATCTGTACTTTCTAAATGTCCTCGAGTTTTTTTTCTTTCTCTTTATACATTGTCTATTTGGGAATGTCCACAACATCGAGAAACTATGGATCTGGATGTCCCATTTAAGCCGTCCATTGTTTTTTGTATAAAATTTTCGGTGAGCTTCTACTTCGTACCATCCAAGAATGGATAAAATAAAAGATACAGACGATGTTCCCATGAAACTCATGTTTCAGAATACACATTAAAAATTGGCAACAGCTTGGTGTGTGTTTCGACGCAGCATTAACTTCAATTAATTTTGCATATGGCCAATTCTGAAGTGTCTATATTTGTTAAAATTTGTCCATAAAGAGGATAAATAGGACTGTATCCTCATCTTTTCCAAATTTTGAAATTGTGGTCTGCTATTACGAAATTGCATTTCTTTAAATAATTGCAAGATAAATGGTTAGAAAATATGTTTTTTTAACAGAAATAATTTTTATGGTACGCTCATGTCTCCCTTGTAAGGATCCACAAAGCCCATTTTGATCAGTTTCTTAGTTCAACAGTTATAATTTATTGGAAAATGGTTGACACTATATTTCAAACAATTGAAGAAATTTTCCAAAATCCTTCAAGATATGTTTATATATCATTAAAGACTACAACATGTCCAAGTTTCAACCAAATGTTACTCCAAAAAGTGTCCAACTTCGCGTGAAATGACCCTTTCGTATCATCGCTTACCGATCGAAGGGACAGACATGCCGAGCCACGCGCCGTTTGAGGCCGTTTTAAGGTTCGGCCCTAGTGTACAACCAAGTAGCAGACACGTGTATTGATTTATTCCGGGCCGGGGCGGGCTCAGTGGATGAGTTTCGGGTGGAGGAAGGGTGGAGAGACGCGGGGGTGTGCACGACCAGGCTAAGAGAAGAATGGGGGCGGGAGACGAGGACGGACAATGAGATTCGATAAGGAGACGCGATTAGAGGAACCATCTTTTGTCCCTTTTCATTCTGTTTCTTTCACTCCCATATCCCCGTTGTTACTTGTGCAGCGTCTTTTATAAATAATTTTTTTTTATTAGCTTCCTTTAATCGCAATTTCATACTTTTTTCATTCAATCGTTTCATTCCCATTATCTTGTTCGATTTTTTTTGTAAATAAATATTTTTTTTATTAGCGTCCTTTAATCGTAGTTTCATAATTTTTTTCATTTATTTGCTTCATTTCCATCATTCTGCTCGATTCTTCTCCACGAGTAGGTTAATCTTCGTTTGTTATTGTTTTAAATTTTTTTTTATTTTCTGCCTGGTTGTGGCTACTTAACCTGATGAAATTTTACCTCTTTCACCCCCTTCTTATTATGTATTTTCTTCTGCAGCGTCTTTGAGAAATATTTTTTTATTAACCTTCTTTAATCTAAACTTTGCTTTTCTTTGTTTATCTATTTCATTTATTTATATATGTGAATTTATTGTTCCCCTAGGGGCTACAATTCCTTACATCTTGTCTCTTACTTCTAGACTTAATCTACGTATCCTACATCTTACAAAAATTCTCGCTCTCTTAACCTACCCCCGCTAATACACACACACACCCCTTCCCTAACCTGGCCTCCGCTTCTGCTCGTCTGCAGAGAGAGTAGTCTCATTCTCATCTCTTCTTTCATCCAATCCTCATTCTCTCACATTCTTCTCTTCTCTCTTCCACTCTCCTCGTCCATTCCTCCCCCTCCCCCTCCCCCTCGTCACCTAACACCTTCATCGCCACCTCCTGCCACCCCCTATTTTATTTATATAATTTTTATTTTTGTTTAAGAGTAGGTTTATTTCTATTGATTAAAAATTCATTTTATTTACCTAATAATTATCTTTGTAACCTAATTAAATTTTACCTGTTTCCATCTTCTTATTATGTATCTCCATCCCCAGCATCCTTTCGAAATAAATATTTTGTTATTAACCTCCTTTAATTTAAACTTCGCTCTTTTTTTTCTCTATTTCAGTTATTTTTATAATTTTCGTTTTTGTCTACAAGTAGGTTTATTTCTGCTTGTTATTGATTAAAAATTTATTTTATTTACCGAATAAGTATCTCTACTTTAACCTAATTAAATTTTACCTGCTTTCATCTTCTTATTATATACCTTCTTCCGCAGCATCCTTCAGAAATAAATATTTTTTTATTAACCTCCTTTAATCTGAACTACACTCTTTTTTATCCATTTGATTTATAAATGTAAATAAAGTATATCGTTGGTTTGGTTTTCGTCGACGTGCCGGTTAATTGCTGTTTGTTATTCATTTAAAATTCTTTTATTTGTTATACCGTTGTAGCTGATACTGTCGAGATTTTTGCCTGTTCCACGCAATTATAAAATATGTTTCTCGTTTACGCGAATCTCACGAACTCTCCGCTCCAAATCCTCTTTTTCCCCCTCTTTATTATCCCGTCCCAATCTATATTTCACCGTCTCTTCACCTCTTTCATTCATTTCCGCCGTTCATTCGGCCTCTCCCGTTTACATTTAATTTTCATGCTCCATTGATTTAAAATTGTTTTATTTATAACCGACTACTCGTGGTTAATGTTTTTGATCTTTTACGCTTTCCCAGTTCATTCCTCCCTTTCGCGATTCGTATTCGTTCGGACAATGTATACCACTTAATACAATTATCATGCAATCGATAACTGAATTAATTACTTTGTAAAATTACTTATTTAATACATTATACAATAATGTAAATGCACGTCATTACGGGTTATTTCACGTATATTTTAGTAAAATTGAATTGAGTTAATTGTAAATTAAATTACCATAACTTCACCTGCTATTTCTGTACAACGGAAGTCATTATACAGGGTGTCCCACCTAACTCTGCCACCCCTAATCATTCTCTTATTTGTCACGGTACAAAAAAACGGTTCGGCAGAAAGTTAGTCTATTTTAGGGGAGAAATTAGGCTATGAGATTGATCGTCATGTCAAGGTCATATCTTCTGAGATTTCTCTAATGGTAACGTTTTTTTTAAATGGAATGCCCTATTTTTTTGTTTGCCATTACAAAAAGGAGATCAAAACGTATCGAACAATGTATCACACTATGACCTTGAAATGACCTTAGGCTGA